GTGAACGAGTAAAAACTTAAAATATAGCTCGGAGCATCTGCAATTGCATGTGTTCTACCGGAAAGCGCCCTCAATTTTATAGCTACGCCCAAAATAGTCCATCATTTATTGCACAACTGTGACCAAACATTTTCATTAAATCTTCATGCACTTTTTGACCTTTCATAAGTAAAATATACAATTTTCCAGGTATATTCCTACCTTCTTGCATACTAATGAGGGGTTCAGACACATTCTAAGCTGAACAATATTCTTGGACTAATAAAGCCGGTCAATCCTTTCCCAGCAACAAAATTGGTCAGGGCATGTTTAATAAATGATGTGGGTTGTAAAGCCCCAAAACATAAATCCCATTTCAGACAACCCAAAAAAACTAAAAAAATACATTTCTGACAAATTCATTTTTTTATTCAAGATGATCATTTCAGATTTACATTGTGTTTAACAAAGTGTAAACTGCTACATACAATGTTGGGTACAAGAACAGTAATCTGTCAGAGACAGCAAAATACAAAATCAAGAGCGAATAAATTGAAGGCCTTGCAACTCACTAAAATTGCACACAACTAAGAATAGTTCATAAACATGGCACAATCCCATAATGCCAGGCAAGAGTGTTACAATGATATTTCAGCATTATGCAATAAAAATGCTGATTGTTGCTTGTGTGGACTGTTATTATCAATAAAATAAATTTTTATAATACAGGATTTACTGAACAAGTTAACCAGGAAAGCAAGGAGCGAATTCTGACTTCTCAAAACATGCATCAAAAGGCAGTGTGTACTGGTAATGCTTGAATGCTAACACAATCTGAACAATTCAACTACTTATTGAAGAAACTAAATGTAAAAAGATTTACTATTCAATCCTAAATTTAGTCAGATATAAATGTGTTATTATATAATCCAGAAATCAATATAATTTTTTCATTTCTAAACAAAGCAGTCGAACTATACATATACTCTTGTAGAACACACTATGATTTGTGAGTCTTGTTCAAACAAAATATAACAATGGCACATAAACAGAAAGAGGCAGTGTATTATTAAAGGTGCCAAAATGAATAAATTCTTCAACCATTCATGAGATATTTTGCACTGTGGTCAGGCCTACGAGCTAATTACTTGATGGATCACTTAAAGTCATGAACATGGTACATTGATAACTCGTACATCCATTTCATTTTATTATTAGGTACCATAACTTCCCCTATCATATGCCCCTCCCCAAGCTTAAGCCAACCCCACTATTTTTAAACATTTAACGAGTTGAGGGCATCCCTGATTATCAGCCCAGGGTGTTTTTAACGGCATTTATTAAAATAGATGTGTAAAAATTGTGATTAGTACAGTAGTTTGGTTTGTGAAACGTGGTCATTATTTTAGTTTTTGTAATAATCATGTCTATTGAGACTACTATCATGAATGGGGTGTGAACGAGTTAATTATTCTTAAATACTTCAACACTCAGTTTACCTTTCGAAAATTTTTGAATCACCAGTTTTTAGAGAAATAAAAAAAACACAAAAAAAACACACACACACACACAGGGTAACTGCAAAGACTCCCATTGTTTGCTTCGCACACTGGAGTCAAAAATCGCTGTCTTTTCGGTGAATTCAGTGTTAACAGATCGCATTTTAACAATGTGGAAATTCACTTCTGCATAGCGTTAAAAAAATGACATTGTCAATAATTGGAAAACTTTGTCAGTATGACACAGCATTTGGATTGGTTGAGACTTTACCTGCTAGGTAAGAACATTGTTTCGGATTAACTCCTGCTGAAAAACTTTGTATATGATCGAAACATCCCACAATGAAGATAATGATAAAGATCTTGCCTTTGCCTTTTCCCACAGACCATACCCATTTTTAGAACGTAAATGTAGACGGTTTGTAAATCGTATTGTAATAAAATGTTTGTATTTTTATGAACATGTTTGTTTCTTTATTGTAAAAGTGCTGTGGAATTCAATGACTCGCTTTTTTTTGTCTTCTCCAAAAAAACGCAATATTCCCCTGAGCATGGCATGGTGAACAAAAGATGCAATTTGGACAATTTTTCGTGGGTGGGTTACAATGGTAAACCCAAAAAATTCATCTTTTCTGAGGTGGTCCTAGAGTATAAAAGCCCACCTCTTACTTTCTCCGATTTTACATGTTGAGGCCCCTGGGCTTATATATGATCAGGGAAGTACGGTAAATGCAGAATTAGTGACAATTTATATTGTCATTTTTGTAAGCCTGATTATATGGATTTTTTTTTTAAAGATCAGGAAGAAAGCAGCTCTAGATAAAAATGATCCATGGTTACAGCAAAATGAATGATTTCAACAGTATGAGACGAGATGAGTTAAGCTTATGTCAGTCTGAGGGTATCTCCAGTTTTGATCAGTTTGTCTTCATCTTCAAGTAGTTTAACTGCTTCTTCAAAGACATCACGTGGAATTTGCTGTAAATAAGGAAGACAAGACAAAATATGTTAAAAAGTTTTCATCTCTTACATTTTACAAGTGATCGTACTTTATGTAGTATTAACCTTTTAATTTTGAACCAAATTGAACATCATTTTTCAAAGCCTACATCTATTGTTTATCAAACAATATGCGCATTAACTTGAAGGCCAAATATAAAATACATTTGCTATACAATTAGTCGGCGCCCGAAATTGGACGCAACATGTTGGTCACATTTTAATGTGTAAATTATTTATTTATTTCATTCAAATGCCTTTATTTGCATGTTTTGCTGTTTGGTGGAAGTTTGTGGTTGAGCCAGCGACTTCAGTGCACCTTGTGTGACTGAGTTGGAATACCTATATCGGTGGACGAATGTGTCAAAATATCACGCCATTCAAGAATTGCATCATTTTCTCAAAACTTTCAGGTTGTCTTTTGCAACCTTGGCAAAGGTGTGGCTTCAAGTTCTAGTTTCTGTCCACAATAACTGCAGCTACAGTGAAAAGTCATTCATTGCAGGTTTTGATGACTTACTATCATGATTATTTCGGTTCAATTTATGCAGGATTTTAGGGGTTGACCAGGTACATACACGACAATAGTCATCAGAACTGGTGATCTTTTTGTGAGTTTGTTCCGACAAATAAGTAAATTTGTCAGGAGTCACCATTTCTACTGTGGCCGAGTCAAAATTATAATGCAACATTTTTTGTTGATGCGACAAATCAAATCAAATGGGTGACCTTTGGTACTGACATCATGTCTTACATGATTGTTTTTTGTGTGCAAAGGCTAAAGCTTGAGATATGCAAATTTATAGTATGCAGAACAGTGTGTATACGAAATGTAATGGAGTCTATTTTGCAAAGCAGAGAAACAGATGGAGGAAGCTGGGGTATTGCATAAAATGAACTTTTCAATTTCCTCGTAAATATTGGTAGGTAAAGTTAGAAAAATTTATTTTCCTTCTCCTAAGTTTAACTAAAGTTGTAAAGTTAACTAACCACATCCGACTGTTCTCTGAGTTCCGCTAGTGTCTTGGAAGCACTAATACGACGTGGCTTTCCTTTAGACTCTATAAACTTCCACAAAACTTGAGCAACGTCTTGTCGTTGTTTACGTGCACTGGTACTCAGACCAGTTGCGAGGATGTCAATATTGATGGTACCATCACGTGGATCAACAGCAGATTGTTTCAGAGCTTCTGAAAACAACCTGGATGAAAAAAAAAGGAAGAAAAATATTGGTTCGGTTTGGTAAAAATATTCTTACTGGTATACTAAGCAAAAGCATTAAATCACAGACTTCACTGTCACAATATCATATTATGGTAAAAGCAAAGTATCTAACCGTTCCTTCAAGTTTCGTGAACCTCAACTTCAGCCTATTGCCATACGATATACATTGCCATGTCATGACCCACCCTCC